CATAGATAAATAGTTCGTCGTCGTCTCCTTCTTCCCAGATCTCTGTAATTTTCTGTGTAAAACTGCGACCCTGTTGTGCGTGGCGCCGAAAGAGGTGCGGGGGCTTTTTTCTCGCTAAATTTTGTAAGTGGGCCAATGTGACTTTTCACCTTCATTTTTTAATACTTTCCTTTTTTCTTTTTGTTTTTTGTGTTTTATATTGCATAAAATTTTGAGAATCTTAATGAAACATTCTTCGTACTATTTATTTTTAAAATTAAGAATATTTTTACTTTGAAAAGTCATTTCTGATATTATTTACTTACACTTTTATTTTTTCATTTTTATTAAAACTAAAGTTTTTGATGACTTTTTGTTAGTTTTCCTAGGCCTGACAATTCCTGACACGATTCGATAACCCGACACGACACGACACGAAATTAACAGGTGTTTGGGTCAACACGATAACAAATCGAGTGTTATCAGGTAACTCGGTAAGCACCTGTTAAGATAACGGGTAGGTTCGGGTATACACGTGGGTAACACGATACACGATAAGTAGAATATTAATTTAATAATTTTATAACCCTAAAAAATACTATAATAATTATACCCCCCAAAATATTATCTATAATAATTATATATATATATATATATATATATATATATATTAAGTTTTAAATTAAATTTTATACCCCTAAAAACTATAATAATTATAGGTACAAAATAAATAGATTTAAATCTACATAATAAATATATACACCATTGAACTTGATGGGATACACGAAACTAATTTCAACGATCCAACCGTTAAACTCGTTTGTATATGCTTCAAGATCGCGTCAGCAAAAAATGGCAAAAAAAAACATTCAGAGATCAAGTAACGGGACAAAACTTTTCGACGGTTTTAAAACAAAAAATCACGGTTTAACGATTATTTTAACTCCGATTTTGATGATTTTTTACAGCTACACTCTTTGACATTATATGAATACAATGAAAGAATTCGATTTTCAATTTAAAATATTTACACTAGTGGATACCACAAAATCTTATGTTATACTTAATGAAAGTATAAATAAACTTTAAGTGTTAGTAAATCTATCGTTTCGATGGAATACGAATTCTATGAAACTAATTTCAACGATCCAACCATCAAACTTGTTTGTATATGCTTCGAGATCGCATATGCCAAAAATCACAAAAAACAAACATTCAGAGATCAACTAATAAGAAAAAACTTTTCGACGATTATAAAACAAAAAATCACGATTTAACGGTTATTGTAACTCCGATTTTGATGATTTTTCACAACTACACTCATTAACCCTATATGAATACAATGAATTAATTCGATTTTCAATTTAAAATATTTACACTAGTGGATACCACAAAATCTTATGTTATACTTAATAAAAGTATAAATAAACTCTAAATGTTAGTGAATCTATTGTTTTGATGAGATACAAATTCTATGAAACTAATTTCAACGATCCAACCGTCAAACTTGTTTGTATATGCTTCGAGATCGCATACGCCAAAAATCACAAAAAACAAACATTCAGAGATCAAGTAATGAGACAAAACTTTTCGACGGTTATAAAACAAAAAATCACGATTTAACGGTTATTTTAACTCCGATTTTGATGATTTTTTACAACTACACTCCATGACCCTATATGAATACAATGAATGAATTTGATCGTCAATTTAAAATATTTACAAAAGTGGATACCACAAAATCTTATGTTATACTTAATGAAAGTATAAATAAACTCTAAGTGTTAGTGAATCTATTGTTTTGATGGGATACGAATTATATGAAACTAATTTTAACGATCCAACTGTCAAACTTGTTTGTATATATTTCGAGATCGCATACGTCAAATATCACAAAAAACAAACATTCAGAGATTAAGTAATGAGACAAAAAAATTTTACGGTTATAAAACAAAAAATCACGATTTAACGGTTATTTTAACTTCGATTTTGAAGTTTTTTACAACTACACTCCTTTACCCTATACGAATACAATGAATGAATTTGATCGTCAATTTAAAATATTTACAAAAGTGGATACCACAAAATCTTATGTTATACTTAATGAAAGTATAAATAAACTCTAAGTGTTAGTGAATCTATCGTTTTGATGGGATACGAATTATATGAAACTAATTTTAACAATCCAACTGTCAAACTTGTTTGTATATATTTCAAGATCGCATACGCCAAAAATCACAAAAAACAAACATTCAGAGATTAAGTAATGAGACAAAACTTTTTTACGGTTATAAAACAAAAAATCACGATTTAACGGTTATTTTAACTCCGATTTTGAAGTTTTTTACAACTACACTCCTTTACCCTATACGAATACAATGAATGAATTTGATCGTCAATTTAAAATATTTACATAAATGGATACCACAATATCTTATGTTATAATTGATGAAAGTATAAATAAACTCTAAGTGTTAGTGAATCTATGGCTTTGATGGCATACGAATTCTATGAAACTAATTTTAACAATCCAACCGGCAAACTCGTTTGTATATGCTTCGAGATCGCATACGCTAAAAATCACAAAAAATAAACATTTAGAGATCTAGTAATGAGACAAAACTTTTCAACGGTTATAAAACAAAAAATGACGATTTAACGATTATTTTAACTCCGATTTTGATGATTTTTTACAACTACACTCCTTGACTCTATATGAATACAATGAATGAATTCGATTTTCAATTTAAAATATTTACACTAGTGGATGCCACAAAATCTTATGTTATACTTGATGAAAGTATAAATAAACTCTAAGTGTTAGTGAATCTATCGTTTTGATGGGATACGAATTCTATGAAACTAATTTCAACGATCCAACCGTCAAACTTGTTTGTATATGCTTCGAGATCGCATACGCCAAAAATCACAAAAAAAAAACATTCAGAGATCAAGTAATGAACAAAACATTTCGACGGTTATAAAACAAAAAATCATGATTTAATGGTTATTTTAACTCCGATTTTGATGATTTTTTACAACTACACTCATTGAACCTATACGAATAAAATGAATGAATTTGATTGTCAATTTATAATATTTACACAAGTTGATACCACAAAATCTTATGTTATACTTAATGAAAGTATAAATAAACTCAAGTGTTAGTTAATCTATCGTTTTGATGGGATACGAATTCTATGAAACTAATTTTAACGATCCAACCGTGTAACTTATTTGTATATGCTTCGATATCGCATACACCAAAAATCACAAAAAACAAACATTCAGAGATAAAGTAATTAGACAAAACTTTTCGACAATTATAAAACAAAAAATCACGATTTAACGGTTATTTTAACTCCGATTTTGATGATTTTTTACAACTACACTCCTTGACCCTATACGAATACAATGAATGAATTTGATCGTCAATTTAAAATATTTACACAAATGGATACCACAAAATCTTATGTTATACTTAATGAAAGTATAAATAAACTTTAAGTGTTAGTGAATATATCGATTTGATGGGATACGAATTCTATGAAACTAATTTTAACGATCCAACCGTCAAACTTGTTTGTATATGCTTCGAAATCAAATATGCCAAAAATCACAAACTGGTTTGTATATGCTTCGAGATCACAACCGTCAAACTTGTTTTTTTATTAAGCTCTTATTTTCGAGTGTAGATGTAGTACTTAAATGACAAATATGTTTAAATGTTTTAAAGTAATATTTATGTGGTAATGTGTGGTATGTGCAAATTTAAGAAAATTTATATTTTTCTTAACGGGTCATAACGGGTTGGGTCACTTTATCCGTTGGGTAAAGTGACCCGACCTGTTAAGGACCCGTTAAGATAATAGGTGTGACACAACACGACCCGTTAAGATAACAGGTGTTACACAAAAACGACACGAACACGACAGACATGACCCGTTTGCCAGGCCTAAGTTTTCCTTAAAATTTTGTAGTGTATAGTTTGTTGTGAGTGACATTTCACCTTCATTTTCATATCTGCATCTTTTGTGGCATGTGTACCAATTTATAATCAACTGATTAATTCATAAACATTGTCACGTTGTATAATTAATATAAGGCTTATTCTTACCAATTTATTATCAAATGATTCCTGAATGTCACATGCACTCTTCTTCAATATTCACTTTACCCTTTATCGTCAAATAAGTTAAATAGTCGTTAATTTTAGTCTTTTGAACAATCTTTGTGTTTGTACCATACTTAGGGCATCCGTATTTAGACCTCGTATAAATACTCGGGGGACTCAAATGTAATTATGTAATAAATGGAGAGGCAAATATATAATAAGTGAGGAGCCCTTATTCTATAAAAGGGCCTCATCACCCTCACAATCCTCAAGCTCTCATCCTCACAAATAGAGAGCTCTCTCAAACTCTCTCTTTCTCTGGGGGACTCCCCTTCACCCTTGTAATTCATACATACAGTTAGAGAGAAACAATATCAACATCAGTGTGAACGTAGCCCAAACATTGTGGTGAACCACGATACATCTTGTGATCTTTACTTTCTTGCAGATTCACGGTCGAATTTACATTGTTCCAAAACCTCCAGTTTTGTGCATCAACATTTGGTGCCGTCTGTGGGAATCGATACGAAAAGTTGTGTCAGTTCTCTTTCATTTTTTCACCTCCGCCGTGAATATGCAGAAACTCAGAACCTCCTTGGGCTTTTCCAGAAAACCCCCATAAACACAAAGCCACCATGTCATCTCTTCTCTCTTTCTTTCTCTCTCGGTCTTTGCTCATAAACGAGCCCCAAAGATTTTTTCTTTTTTCTTTTTTAAGGTCCTTATTCTTTTTCCTTTTCTTAAGACCAGATCTCTCTCTCTCTCTATACCATCATTTGTCAGTTACAATCACTCTTTTCATGACAGAGGAGGGGGAGGGGAGATTCCCCAATCCAAAAAAATTAGCCTTCGCAGAAAGTTTGAAAGTTTGAAATTATGGTGAGCTCTCTTCAGAAGGTTTCAAATGATGGCGAGCTCGAAGACTCTGTTCGCTTTCGGAGCCCAAGCCCTGCTCCTTGCCTCGTCGGCCTTCACAGACGACGTTGTTGCGCTCACGAAGGACAACTTCGAGAAGGAGGTCGGTCAAGATCGCGCCACTCTCGTCGAGTTCTATGCTCCTTGGTGTGGTCACTGTAAGAAGCTTGCACCGGAGTATGAGAAGCTTGGTTCATGTTTTAAGAAAGCAAAATTGTAACGCCCCGGTCCCGAAATATTTGTATATTTTGGAAAAATAATTATGGTAGGCCCAACCTAAAAACATAGCTAATTTATTTTTCTTCTCTTGGATCAATTTCCATCTATATACTAATTCTCGAATATTTAAACACATTTATTTTATGGCTGCATCTAACGTCTCGTTAGATTGCCTACGTACCCTCAACAAGGATCAAGCCTTTCGTAGTTCAAAACTTCAAAATTTAAACCAAATCCGAAAATATTCCTTTAATCCAGCATATACCAAAATCGTAATAATATTCAAACCACAACAATTTTGATCTTGAAGACATAATTTGAATGACAAAATTTTCATAAAGAGCAATAGTCGACTTCCTGGCCATGTGTCGCCGCACCCCGCCGCAATTGGCGGTCGGCCGCCCCGACTCGCCGGAAACTCAACTATTTCTAAAAATTACCAAAAATTACAGGAATGAAGATCTCAATGCATAGAGTAACTTTCATACCTATGACCAAGGGTAATTTAGCTCGGAAATGCTCCAATTTGCCTCGAATCCGTCGGGAACCCTAGAAATGGGTGTTCTTGATTCGACTCTATAGCAGCTCTGATGCCCCAAAACGTGTTTGGGATTTATTCCTAGGTTATTAAGGAACATATGGGTGGTGGAAATTGGGAGAGTTTGCTTCAGATTTGATGGATCGCAACAATGAACTCGCGTACCCCCTGTGTGGTTTTGCACATTTTCAGAGCCAATATCTATCTAATTTGTGATAGAATCAGTCAAGGGGAGGTCATGGAATCTTTTTAAGATGGTTTGGTAGTATAATTCATCAAAAAATCCGACGAAAAGCCACCGGAAGAGGTGGAGGAAGCCAGGTCGGGTTGATGATATAGAACCGGGTCGAAGGATCCTGTGTACTTCTTTCCCCTCCTTTCCCCTCCTTTCTTCCCCTCCTTTCTCTCTTCTGTCATTGGTTACTCTCTCTCTCCCCCTTTTCTGATTGGCCCTTCTCTCCCTCATTTCCCTCCTTTATCTTCCATCTCCACCGCTTAACCTTTCTTACTTTTAATCTGGGCCACACACGTGGCCTTCCAGATTTGGCTCCAAAAATCTTGAGCATTCTAGAAATGATAAATTTACCATTTTATCCCCGACTTTAAACGTTAATAACTTCTTCGTTCTAACTTTGTTTCACGAACGGTTTGCGCCTACGCATTCGTGAGGTCGAGCTCTATTCAAAAATATAAATTTTGACCTCGAAAGGTCTACGTATTTTAAATAATTAAGGTCCAAACTTTAAACCTCGTAACTAATTTAATTTAAAACTAAACTTACACAAATTATTATAAATTCTTGAAAAATCATATAAAAGCTCAATAATACAAATACGTTGATTAATATAATTTCCGGAAACACAACTGTAAAAGTTCTCGATTAAATTCTTCATAATCATAAATCGATTTATTTTCGATTTTCTCCACATATGCATAATTATGAATATATAATTCATATATTTAATTTTTCGGGGTATTACAAAAATCGATTTTAATAGCAAAGGTTGATTGTGATAAGCACAAGGGCATTTGTGGCAAGTATGGAGTTTCCGGCTACCCCACAATTCAATGGTTTCCTAAAGGGTCCTTAGAACCCAGAGGTGGAGATTCCATCCGGCTGAAACAAATCATCATGCCATCAGGGAAGACGAAGAACCCCATCCAGCACTCAGAGTACTCCGACTCCGAGCTCATCTTCAGCTACATCCCGGACCCATTTGGGTTCGTCATCAATGTGAAGATCGTCAACGCGTACCGTGACCACTGCACATTCCTCGACCGCGGTAGGACCCTCCTGCAAATTTTCTCAGAGCTCATGGAGCGCAAGGAGGGTTGCTCCAAAGGGAAAGGTGGGTCAATAAAAAGTACGTGTTGTAGATAAAATGGGACAGGGCCAACGAAACCCGAGTCAAGGATTACAGTGGCAATTAAAAGCTTAAAGCCAGATGGTCTCCAAGGCCATAGAGAATAAGTGGACAGAGAATGAGCGGGGAGATCAAGAAAATCAAAAGATGACCTTACAAAACAACATGGTGGACAGAGAGAGGTGCGGTGGAAAAGAGAAAGTAAAAGCAAAAACAAAGCAGAAAAGGAAAAACCGAAAAGAAGATGCTCCACTATTCCACTATCCCACGGGATAACATGATTAAAGATAAGAAGATGCCCACCAAGGTTCCCCATCTCCACTTTCTGTTGGACCAAAAGATGCCCATCAACATGCTGAAAACATGTGATTTATTTTTCTTATCTTTCGGAGACATCTATATAAACCCCATCAAAGGGTAATTAAATAAATAAATAAAAACGGCAAGCCCAAAATAATGGGCTGGAATGTTATGTGGAGGGCAAAGATCCATATGCCCAAAAGAGCCAGGCCCTCTACTATCACCAACTAGGTGATCAAAAGTACGTTTCGTACTACAAAAAATTATTCGGTAGCCTGCCAGTATTATTACCAACCAGGTGATCAAAAGTACCCCCAGTACTCCAAAATTATTCGGCAGCCTATCGCTATTATCACCCACTAGGTGATTAAAAGTACGCCTAGTACTCCAAAATTATTCGATAGCTTACCGCTATTATCATCCACTAGGTGAGCAAAAGTACGTCTAGTACTCCAAAATTATACATGAGCATCACTCATGTCAATCATACATAAACATTCATAAGCATCACTCATGTCAATCATACATAAACATTCATGACCATCATTCATGTTAACATTCATGAGCATCACTCATATCAACATCCATGAGCATCACTCATGTCAATCAACATAAACATTCATGAGCATCACTCATGTCAATCAGCTTCGAAAACTTCATTTACAGAGCTCCAGCTTCAAGAGCCAACTTCAAAAGCTACATTTACAAAAAGCTCCAACTTCAAAGCTTCATTTTCAAAGCTTCCCCTACAAAGTTTCAGTGCATGTTATACAAAAACCGCCTCCGAACAACCGCCACTTCAGCCCATACATGGATTGAATTTGAAGTCTCCAGCCAACAAACTCTCTTGATTGAAGACTTGAGGGACTACACTATGTACCATATATTGGGCTTCCGCAACTGGGCCTCATGAAAAATACTTGGAGGACTTAGCCCATTATTTATGTACTAAGGAGCGAACCCTTATTCTATAAAAGGGACTCCCTCATTTTCATTAGAGAGCACCCATTATTCATGTATTGAGGAGTGAGCCCTTATTTATAAAAATGACTCCCTCACCATCATTAGAGTGCATGGCTGCCTGCTTAGCAACCACCTCGCCGCAAGCATCAACTCTAGCCCATCATTTATGTATTGAGGAGCAAGTCCTTATTCTATAAAAGAGACTCCCTCACCATTATTAGAGATCATTGCCGCCTACTGAGCAACCGCCTCATCACGAGCATCAACTCTAGCCCATCATTTATGTATTGAGGAGAGAGCCCTTATTCTATAAAAGGGACTCCCTCACCTTCAACGCCACAAGCCAAGCCAACCAAGGCAATATAAGCCACAAACCGAGCAGCCTCACAACATGTTCTACTTCTAGTTGAGCATCATTTCAGATTGAGCACCGCCTCATATCAAGTATCAGTTCTAAACGACATCTAGTTACTTCAACCCACACATGGACTGAATTTCAAGTCTCCAGCCAAAAGACTTTCTTGACTGAAGACTTGGGGGACTACTGTTTGTACCATACTTAGGGCTTCCGTATTTAGACCTCGTATAAATACTCGGGGGACTCAAATGTAATTATGTAATAAATGGAGGGGCAAATATGTAATAAGTGAGGAGCCCTTATTCTATAAAAGGGCCTCCTCACCCTCACAATCCTCAAGCTCCCATCCTCACAAATAAATAGTTCTTTCAAACTCTCTCTTTCTCTAGGGGACTCCCCCTCACCCTTGTAATCCATACATACAGTTAGAGAGAAACAATATCAACATCAGTGTGGACGTAGCCCAAACATTGGGGTGAACCAAGATACATCTTGTGTTCTTTACTTTCTTGCAGATTCACGGTCAGATTTACGTTGTTCCAAGACCTCCGGTTTTGTGCATCAACACTTTGCAAAGAGATCCAAAAACTTAAAAATTGACCCCTTAATCTTGAAATTCAATTTTCTCTTCTTCTTGTTGAAGGATGAGTGCAAGTGATAAAATGTGATAATATAGAGTGTAGGGAAAAATTAGGACACAAAGGAAAAATGCATATGATAAGGATAGAATATGGGGGGTAATGTGAAAATTTGGTGAAGAGTACATGTGTCATAACTAAAAATAAGTTATTAATCTATGTTGTAGGCCTATTTGATTGAACGATCTAGGGTTTAGAAAAAGAGAGGGGGTCGGCTATGGTTAGAGAGAAAATAGATTGATTTAATTGTGAGGTGTGTTTGATTCACCCCATTGTGTCTTTATTTATAGTAGTAGGATAGGTAAAAACCTTTCCCTTTAGGATTACAACATTTAATAGGTAATCTACTCTTAATAGGAATATAAGATACATTCTCATATCTACTAGGATTTACACAATCACATTCCTATTCTAAATATGACTGCAACACTCCCCCTTGAGTGTGTAAATACTCAACAAACCATCGCATCAGATCTTCAACAGATAAGGTAGAATAGTTGATGAAATCATCGGCACAACGGGTGATCGCGAGTCTCAAATTTAAGTGAAGTATGCATTTGTAGTAAAACTCACAAACCTTGCTATGGTAAAACCCAAGGCATGGGGAAAACCCATAGACTAAAGAGAAAAGTGAAAAGTAAGCATAATGTCTTTAAACAAACTTCAAATAGGATGTAAGTAGTGAACTCAACGGAGTATGATCATCCCAGGATGGGTGCCTCATTAAAACATCGTTAGGTAGAAAAAACCCAGTGGGAAAAATGCTCATAATCATAGGAAAAAGAGTACATTAAGATCATGTGAGTATGCTTCTAGATACCCCCCTAAGTTAGACATAACTTCTAAATAAGAGAACTACAAGCAATTCAACTCAAATAATTTACACATACCGATTCCTTGGACGAGCTTCTGAAAAGTAGACTTGGGTAATGACTTGGTGGAAAAATCGGCCAAGTTGTCCTGGGAACGGATTTACTGCTGGTTTGAGTAAATAAACTTTGGTGCTATGTGCTTGGTATTGTCTCCCTTGATGTATCCATTTTTCAACTACTCGATACATGCTACATTGTCTTCAAATATCGTCGTAGGAAGGTCAATGACTGATGTAAGACCACTAGTGCTTCGAATGTGTCTCATAACTTCTTTCGAATGTGTCTCATAACTTCTCTTAGCCAAAAGCACTCACGTGATACTTCATGCAAGGCGAGAATCTCAACATGGTTTGACGAAGTCGCAACTAGCATTTGATTGGTAGACCTCCAAGATATCGCAGTGTCTCCAACAATAAAGACATAACCCGTTTGAGAATGTGCCCTATGTGGGTCAGACAGATATCCAGCATCTGCGTAACCAACAAGGCGAAAATCAATCTGAGGACCATAAGGGGCGGCAACACTCGAAGATTCGTGGGTATAAAACAAGCCCAAATCCGTTGTACCCTTGAGGTAGGGAAAAATGTCTTTAACACCATTCTAGTGCTTGCGTGTGGGCATATTGCTGTATCTTGCCAAAAGATTCACAGCGAAGGAGATGTCAGGTCTAGTGCACTGAGCCAAGTACAATAAACCCTTAATTGCACTTAGGTAAGGAATTTTGGGTTCCAAAATCTCTTCCTCATCCTCCTTTGGACTGAAGGGATCTCGTTTAGCTTCTAAAGTTCGAACAAGCATGGGTGTACTTGAAGGTTTCGTTTTATTCTCATTAAAACGACGCAACACCTTTTGGGTGTAGTTCGATTGATGTACTAAAATTTCATCCGAACAATGCTCGATCTCCAGGCCAAAACAGTATCAAGTTTTTCCAAGATCCTTCATCTCAAATTCCGATTTCAAGTGTGCATCAATTTCCTCAAGCTCTACGGAAGTCTCAATGAGGTTCATGTCATCGACATAAACTGTAACGATTGCAAATCCGGAATGTGACTTCTTTATGAACACGCATGGGCATAATTTGTTGTTCACGTAACCATAACTTGTCAAATATTCATTCAGATGGTTATACCACATCCGCTCAGATTGTTTTAATTCGTAGAGTTACCTCCTCAACCTAATTGAGAGAGTGTTTCGTGGTCTAAAACTATTTGAACCAGTCAATGGAAGTCATTCTGGAACTTTCATGTAAATTTCTGTATCTAGATCTCCATAGAGATATGCAGTTACCACGTCCATAAGCTGCATATTCAGTTTTTTTTCTTCAGAAATTACCAAACTGATTAGGTAATGGAATGTTATAACATCCATTATGAAGGAATACGTCTCTTCGTAATCAATCACAGGGCGCTGAGAGAAGACTTACGTTACGAGGCGTGTTTTGTATCGCACTATTTCATTCTTCTCATTACGCTTCCTCACGAAAACCCACTTATAGCCAACGGGCTTCATGCAGGGTGGTGTAGGAATGATAGGTCCAAAGACCTTACGTTTCACGAGTGAATCGAGTTCGACCTGAATTGCTTCTTTCCAGTTTGACCAATCGGTTCTACGTCAGCATTCATCGACAAAACGTGGTTTAATGTCATCGTTAAGCATGATGTCAATAGCTACTGAGTATGTGAATATATCGTTGATGATCATCTCATTCTTATTCTAAACCTCATCCAATATTGCGTAATGGAACAAAATCTCGCGATTTTCGGGAGGCCGGCATGTTTCGTCTGAAGCATCACCATAATCTAAAATAGCCTCATGCGTTGGAATGGATGAGTAAACGATGGTCAGATTCAAACTAGGGTCACTAGTTGGTGCCATTTTCCTCTTCCGGGGTTGTGAATCCTTTGAACCAAGGGGTCTGCCACACTTTAGGATTGGAACATATTATTAACTAGCCGCCAATGTACCTTGTTGTGTGG